CATGGGTACAATATGTGAAGCCAATTGCTGGTGTCCCCCGCCGTGACATTGCTGGAATATTGCTAAAATAGGCGTAAAATCATTCACTCACTCACTGAATATAGTTTACTGTAAAACGGCGGAACGCAAGACATATCGGGACCACATAATCCAGTGATTATATTGTGAGTAACTGTCTATGACATGCTGCCTACCCATCTCATGTCCAGTTAGTCGCCGGGATGGGATGGTCAGGCTCGCTGACTTGGTTGACACATGTCATCGGTTCCCAATTGCGTAGATCGATGCTCATGCTGTTGATCAGTTGATTGTCTGGTCCAGACTCGATTGTTTACAGACCGCCGCCATATATCTGGAATATTGCTGAGTGCGGCGAAAAAATAGACTCTCTCACTCCAATTAGTCGCAAAATGTGGCGGTTCCGACAAGGATTTTAATCTGCCGGGCAAATGTAAAGTATAATCTTGAAATTTGTATTTGATGTTCAAATTACAAATGTTACAAAAACGTTACTAGGCCAAAAACTGCCATCGGAACACCGCAAACGTAAGACGGAATATATCGGGTGGCCGGCTGACTGCTTGCTTCTTTTAACCGGACAATTCACTGGGAGGAGGGCAGTTTTGATTAACGGGGTCTCACTTTGCTCTGAAAAGCTGACAAGGACTACCCTACATGCTATAAATATCTGACAAGTTCGCAAGGTCAAGGTTGTGGCCAGTGTAAGCGTGGATTTATCACTGGAATGTCGAATGCTTGTCAGATATGATAATAATGAAGAAGTGTGAAGATAATTTATTGGATTCGGTCCAAGCTGTACAGGTGTGGATCCAGGATTTAGAAAGATCCATTCGGACCATTTACTCCTTCAGCGGGCGGGGTCAACCCAAAAGTCTAAGCCAAAAAATCACAAATATGGTAAGCAAAATAATTTTGCTTTTACTTTATCCAAAGTCAACATGTCATCATGGTTGTCATCTGATGTAAAAGAAAACGGGGTGGGTAGACGTTATATTAATCATAACCAATGTACGAACTAACAACTCATTTTATTATTACCTTAACTTAAATATTACATATCTGTGTATTTTATTGATCAATGATGTTTTCATAAATTTCAATATGAGCCGCGGCGATGAAATTTACGCTTTGACTGACTGACTGACTGACTGAGTTTGGTTTTACGCCGCTTTTAGCAATATTCCAGCAACATCACGGCGGGGGACACCAGAAATGGGCTTCACACATTGTACCCATGTGGGGATTCGAACCCGGGTCTTCGGCGTGACGAGCCAACGCTTTAACCACTAGGCTACCCCACCGCCCTACGCTTTGATGCACGGTCATTGCACTAGACATTTTATTACTCTCTTATCTCTGCTTTTCAAGCTCCTTGCAGTGAAGCGGATTCGCGTAATGTGTATTAACGTTGCCATTAGATGTACATAATGTACAGAGCCCAAACACAAGCAACTCATCAGACAGCAACAAACAAACTTACAGAAAAATATTGACCAATCACTTCCATCATACAAGCTTAGAACTTATCAAACATAGTCCATAGATATAAAAAGAGAAAAACCTTTCCATACTGTAGAACAGTACCAAATCTATTTGGATATGAGCAGATGGAGACAACGTTTCCGATAATGTGAGAACATTTAAAACATGGTTTTCCTGAGGAAATCCTGAAGGGGAGAGCTTTTTTTTAAACATTAGTGCTAAAACATTCAGGAAAATATCAATATCTGATTTGACGTAAAGCGAAAAGCTGTTCGTCCCTTGAATACTTCCTTCGGGACGTCTCAGTTGGATTCCAACCCGTATTCAGAGGAACATTTAGTTATGTTAAGTTGTGTATCCTTAACTTTTTAAATCTTAATTGTTGCTCGTTATGATCAATATTAATATCCATCTTCATTCAAAATATTCTTTTTAGAACTGCCATGGATGCTGCCTGCCTCACAACGCACAGATGCATCCCTCGTGGTGTGTTTTTGATATACTGATGTTTGACTGGACCAAGGAGATCCTATTTCTCCATATTTCTTACTTATCTGCGCCGAATTCTGGGTAGATATTTATACAGCTACAATTTACTAAGGGAGTGACAGCAGGTTACACTCACTTGATGAGTTTGTTGACGACAGTACCTGGTTCGGAATGGTAATAGAAATATGTCGGTGCTTTGCTCGATCAAGATTCAGAGCAAAAGCTGAAAAAGCTGAACTTCATTGGTTGGATAAAAAAGAAAAGGATGAGAATCCAGCGATGCAAGGATCAGGCACTGAACTGGGTGCATTCCTGTAACCTATTGTGATATATTGATATGGGTTTTCAAAATGTGGTTGGAAATAATCACAAAGGATACTTCACTAATGCTGAAAAATACAACAAACGAAATATCACGTCCTAACACGGTCCTCAAATCTTTACTGAATCATTGACATGCACATTTTGTGAGAAACGGGTGCTAACGTGTTTAAACGGTCCCTTCTAAAATGTTTCTCCCGTATTTCGTCTGGTGCACCAAAGTCTGTTCCAGTGTGTAATCGATATGTGCTAGTCGCTTTTTTATTTGCAAGTATATAAACACCTTAGTCAAGCATCCTGAGTAGTCTGAACCCGTGAAGATCCGGGTTAGAATTGATCTTCAGTAACCCATGCTTGTCGTAAAATGCGACTAACGGGATCGGGTGGTCAGGCTCGCTGACTTGGTTGACACATGTCATCGTATCCCAGATGTGTAGATCGATGCTCATGCTGCTGATCACTGGATTGTCTCGTCCAGACTCGATTATTACAGACCGCCGCCATATAGCTGGAATATTGTTCAGTGCGGCGTAAAACTAAACTCACTCACTGAGAAGTCTGGGTAGTTCTCAGACGAAATATGTTATACTTATATGGAAGAGAAATCTTGAAAACGGTATACATAATAAAATAAAATGCACTATTTACGATAGAGGAAATGGATTAAGCAATTCTCTGCAGCGCAAAAGTAGATTCTATTGACGTTATACAAGTCTGATCAATTTTCGAATATAATGTGACAGAAATCGATGCAGGTTTTGCCATACCACGTACCTTGAACTACAAATGGTATTTTTAATATGATACAATAGTATATGTAGAGTGCAGCGTTTCTTTATTCCAGTTTACGAAACAAACTGAGTCTTAAACTAATTTGCATCCATGATATACACATACTGATCAATTATAACATATCCTCGTGTTGTAGGTTTTCGGACACTTTAGAGCATCCACTGTTGTCAAGATTATCGCATGAATTATTGTGAAACATGTCAATAACTTATGAAAGGTAACTTTATCCTGAACACAAGCCATCATTCAAGAGTTTGCAATGTCTGTGCGTTTTAGCCCGAAAGAGCACTACCGTCTGAAAACGAAACCTATGATTCAACGATCGTATAATATTAAGAGTGGCCACCTCCAGTATTTCATATAGATTGAAATGAAGCTGAAATACGTTTATAAACTAAATTCTAAACAGTAGGATCTAAACACTATTACATGAAATGAGTTGTTTAAACGTTTGTATGTTTAAACGTTTGTGTTTAAATTTTGTGTTTCTGTCTATGAACAGATGCGTTTATCAAGAGGGTGAAAAAACAACCATTTTAAACGTTTGTGTTTCCGTCTATGAACAGATGCATTTGTCAAGAGGGTGAAAAAACAAACAGTTTAAACGTTTGTGTTTCTGTCTATGAACAGATGCATTTATCAAGAGGGTGAAAAAACAACCATTTTAAACGTTTGTGATTCTGTCTATGAACAGATGCATTTGTCAAGAGGGTGAAAAAACAAACAGTTTAAACGTTTGTGTTTTCTGTCTATGAACACATACAAGTTTCAAGAGTGTGAAAAAACAAACACGTTAAACGTTTGTGTTTCTGTCTGTGAACACATACAAGTTTCAAGAGGGTGAAAAAACAAACGTTTTAAACGGTTGTGTTTCTATATATATATGAACACGTACAAGTTTCAAGAGGGGAAATAGACAAACGTTTTAAATGGTTGTGTTTCTATATATCTATGAACAGATGCATTTCCAAGAGGGTGATAAGAAAAGTGCCCAAGGGCAAATAAGGCAATACTTTTGACTATGGCATGAATGATTGTCAATCTTGTCCCTCGCACTTCAAAGTGTTTACCGGGTGACATGAGCGGCCTGACCTCACCCCCGGGATAGGCTGACCTCACACATACAGGTCTACAGTAATCGTCAGTGTTCGTTATACGGACAAGGTATGATTGATGGAAACACACTGTTCTTGTGACAGAGCCAGTAGTGTTGAAAACATAGTGAGTGAGTGAGCGAGTTTAGTTTAATGTCGCTTTTAGCAATATTCCAGCAATATCACGACGGGAGACACCAGAAATGGGCTTCACACATTGTAACCATGTGGGTAATCGAACCCGGGTCTTCGGTGTGACGAACGAACGCTTTAACCACTGTGCTATCCCAACGCCCCTGTTAAAGCATAACCTCACGTATGTAACGGTTAGGAAACTGTTACACGTCGAGTACGGAACACGAGTGGGTCACGAATGGATGACTTTGGATTTAAGGCAATATGAGTTACCTCCCTTCCCCATTTCCTTTTTCCTTATCTCGACATTTGACTGGTCGCATTTATCAAGGGGAGGTAAGTTTAGATCGCTAGAACTATGTTAACGTTAGCGTCAAAAAACATTTATCAATCCTGCGCACACAGAGGATGACGGTTATAATACATGATTTAACATGAAAAACAGTTGCATATATCAGGCATGGCAGTATGTGGTTCCCTCATTGTTTCAACAGTGATCAGACAGTGATTAATTCCTAGACGTAACGGTATAAATATACAAAACAATTGACAACATTTTCACATATTTTCACCGTACATCATGAGATCGAATACAGTCAAATTCCGATGAGTCGAATGCCGGTGTCTCGAATATTATGCATAACACGAAGTACCTGTCGGTAGTATTCAGCCTATATGCATGACTGCATATCTGAAGTTTGACTGAACGTCAATATCTTCAACTTTCAGTCTCAGCATTGTCTGCATCCACGGACAAAAGCCCCCTTTTTGGGTCTTTTTGCCCCCTGTCCTCAACGTTTTCGTCGTCGTTCTCATCGTGGAATTTTGTGCAGATCTCCAGCGCGACGTCACCTGGGGAGTCCTCTGCAGACTGAAGGTGCCATTGTCTGTTTGGCGTCAGTGACGTGCGCAATTTCTGAAAGCATTTACTTTGATTAAAATATTATGATTATTTATTTACAAGAACATGCATGTAGTTGTCGTACAATCAGGTCAAATTACAATGAAGTCACAAGAGATGAATGTTTGGGAGAATATCCAAGCATCAACCAAGTATCCTAAAAGTGCTGGGAAAAAACACGGCCTTTCTGGGTTCAGAACACCAGAAATAGGCTTCACACATTGTACGCATGTGGGGAATCGAACCCGGGTCATCGGTGTGACGAGCGGACGCTTTAACCACTAGGCTAACCGATCATTCCCGAAAAAGGATGGAAGCAAAAGCTCAGTTTTCCGTATATATTTGCACAGTACTCCAATGTCCCTGTCTCTCGATAGTCTGCTGGTGCTATATGTTAGCTAGTTAGCGCATTTTTAAACTGAAATTTGTTACAAAATAATGGAACACACACACAAAAATTTAAAATAGAGTTTTTGAACTTATCAAACTATAATCGAAGTGACAGCTAAAACTCGATCTTCTTTTTGAAAAATAGACAATTAATTCCAAACCATCGAGAAAATGTGGTTGTGAAATATTAATATTTACGTTACCCAAGCGGCACGATTAACTTCGGTTCGACAGTAGTGTAATGGACATACATGTATACATCAAATTTAAAATTGTGTTTTAATTGTGGTATCGGTTTGATAAAACAGAGAACGGGTACTTTAGCTTACCTCTTTTAGTGTACTTCCTGGAGTCTGGTATACAGTCCAAAGAAACACCACCGGGAATGGAAGGATTGATGCACTTGATATCGCCCATCCCAGACCTGTGGCCCAAGCAGGGTAGATGTAGTCTCCGTACTTAGGAGGCCGGTACGAATAAAGCGAATAGCAGAAGACGATCTGTAATAGAAAGACCATTGATAGTTTGTGGTGGAACCTGTGGCCCAAGCAGGAAGATCTGTAGGGATTGAAAGACCATTGATAGTTTGTGGTGGAACCTGTGGCCCAAGCAGGACGATCTGTAGGGATTGAAAGACCATTGATAGTTTGTGGTGGAACCTGTGGCCAAAGCAGGACGATCTGTAGGGATAGAAAGACCATTGACAGTTTGTGGTGGAACCTGTAGCCCAAGCAGGACGATCTGTAGGGATTGAAAGACCATTGATAGTTTGTGGTGGAACCTGTAGCCCAGGCAGGAAGATCTGTAGGAATAGAAAGACCATTGATAGTTTGTGGTGGAACCTGTAGCCCAGGCAGGACGATCTGTAGGAATAGAAAGACCATTGATAGTTTGTGGTGGAACCTGTGGCCCAAACAGGAAGATCTGTAGGGATTGAAAGACCATTGATAGTTTGTGGTGGAACCTGTGGCCCAAGCAGGACGATCTGTAGGAATAGAAAGACCATTGATAGTTTGTGGTGGAACCTATGGTCCAAGCAGGAAGATCTGTAGGAATAGAAAGACCATTGATAGTTTGTGGTGGAACCTGTGGCCCAAGCAGGAAGATCTGTAGGGATTGATAGTTTGTGGTGGAACCTGTGGCCCAAGCAGGACGATCTGTAGGGATTGAAAGACCATTGATAGTTTGTGGTGGAACCTGTGGCCCAAGCAGGACGATCTGTAGGGATTGAAAGACCATTGATAGTTTGTGGTGGAACCTGTGGCCCAAGCAGGAAGATCTGTAGGAATAGAAAGACCATTGATAGTTTGTGGTGGAACCTGTAGCCCAGGCAGGACGATCTGTAGGAATAGAAAAGACCATTGATAGTTTGTGGTGGAACCTGTGGCCCAAACAGGAAAAGATCTGTAGGAATAGAAAGACCATTGATAGTTTGTGGTGGAACCTGTGGCCCAAGCAGGACGATCTGTAGGAATAGAAAGACCATTGATAGTTTGTGGTGGAACCTGTAGCCCAAAACAGGAAGATCTGTAGGAATTGAAAGACCAAAGCAGGACGATCTGTAGGAATAGAAAGACCATTGATAGTTTGTGGTGGAACCTATGGCCCAAGCAGGAAAGATCTGTAGGAATAGAAAGACCATTGATAGTTTGTAGGTGGAACCAAGCAGGACGATCTGTAGGAATAGAAAGACCATTGATAGTTTGTGGTGGAACCTGTAGCCCAGCAGGAAGATCTGTAGGGATAGAAAGACCATTGATAGTTTGTGGTGGAACCTGTGGCCCAAGCAGGAAGATCTGTAGGGATAGAAAGACCATTGATAGTTTGTGGTGGAACCTGTAGCCCAGGCAGGACGATCTGTAGGGATAGAAAGACCATTGATAGTTTGTGGGTGGCCCAACAGGAAGATCTGGAATAGAAAGACCATTGATAGTTTGTGGTGGAACAAGGACAGGGAATAGAAAGATCTGTGGTGGAACCCTGTAGCCCAGGCAGGACGATCTGTAGGGATTGAAGACCATTGATAGTTTTTGTGTAGTGGAACCTGTGGTCCGAGCAGGAAGATCAGTAGGAATAGTGATAGAACCCTGTGGCCCAAGGAAGATCTGTAGGATAGAGATCTGTAGTGGAACCTGTGGCCCATCTGTAGAATAGAAAGACCATTGATAGTTTGTGGTGGAACCTGTAGCCCAGGCAGGAAGATCTGTAGGGATAGAAAGACCATTGATAGTTTGTAGTGGAACCTGTGGCCCAAGCAGGACGATCTGTAGGAATAGAAAGACCATTGATAGTTTGTGGTGGAACCTGTGGCCCAAGCAGGATAGATATATTACCCGTACTTAGGAGGAAGGTACGAATACAGGGAATAGCAGAAGACGATCAGTAGGAAAACATTGATAGTTTGTTTGTGGTGGAACCTGTGGCCCACAACTTGGTTGATACATGTCATCATATTCCAGTTGTGTAGATCGATGCTCATGCTGTTGATCACTGGATTGTCTTATTTACAAACCGCCGCCATATAGCTGGAATATTGCTGAGTGTGGCTTAAAACTAAACTCACTCACACTCTTCAAGGATCAGTTAAATAATGTCCCGTTTGGAGTGACAGTTAACAAGCATCCTCGCGGATCTGTGTATTAAGCTCACCATCAGCAACACAGGGCAGATGAATCGGATTGCAATCATGATGATCCTTGGAGCACTTTTCCCCCACATGACGCTGATGTTACCTTTAAGTCTCTGTATGCCTGCATTAAAACGAGAGAGAAGACACTGACATGAAATAACATTACCGCATACACCCTGTATTAAATGACAACATGTTTGTTTGTTTAACACAAACAACCACGTCCCTACAAGATAAACCAACATCGGGGTCAGCGAGCCCGGTAATCTTGTCTACTACGCTGTCTCGCACGACAACTATTGGTTACCGGGGTGGTGGTGGTGGTGGAATTGGGTTTAACGTCGTGCTTGAGAATATTTCGTTCATATGACGAAGTGCATGAATGTGTGTATGTGTATGTGTGGCAGCTTGTACTAACCCAGACTGGAGCTGGTTTTATAGTGCTAGCCCACTGAGATACCATGCCGCAGTGAAGCATGAATATCCGACTCAGACACATTATACTGACTCCGAGCCGACCAGTCCTTGTTGTACCCATTAATGCCGAGCACCAGGCAGGTAGCAACAAGTACCATATTTCAACGTCTTTTGGTATGACGCGGTCGGGGATCGAACCCGCGACCTTCCGCATTCCGGGCGGACGCTCTAACCACTACACCACGGAGGCGGTCTGGTTACCGGGGACCAAATCTAAACCGGAAACTTCACAAAATATAACTATGCCTTGCAACAAATTTGATTGAGCCTTACAAATAATTCAAGTATTTTCTCGTTGGTTTAACAGTTTTAACTCCACAGTTCCGGAAAATAATGAAAATTGCAGGAATATACTCGATATTTTCGTAAACATATTTTTAGATTCAGAAAAAAATAATTGAAATAACGAGAATATAATTGAGGAAACGGGGTGAAAATGCAGGTTCGCGAACCTTATTGAAATATGGAGGAATCGAAGCAGCGATAAAAACAATTAAATAAATGACTTACCATAAAACCAGCCAACCACAACGCACTCCAACGTGGCGTAGAGAGCAAGAGAGGGGAAGTAGGCATACCAGTCAAACAGCGTCAGTACGTAGATGCCACCCTGAAGTATTGAAGTCTAAGATGCTTCAAGAAACATTCTGTGTGTCGTCTCACTATCAATAGTGGATGTGTAGTTTACCGAGAAAGTGTAATCCCAAATATAACATGTATGACATTTAAGATATACAGCAACGTGCAATTAAATATACATGTTCATTTTTCATAAAAACAGACACACCATGGACAGAACATGTGCATGATGGCAGTAAAAGTACTGATTGAATTACCATGAATAACGTACGTGAGTGTAATACAGTTTTGATCAACAGACACATACTTATGGTATAGTAGTAACTGTGCAGGAGTATCTGAAATGTGTCGTTTGTGTTACTATGTACATACGTGGGTGACTCAACACCGTTAAACCAAGGAGATCATATGAATATCTTTGTCAAGTCCTGAGTGTACCTGTGTGATAAGCATGATGCCCATGAGGAAATTGCTCAACAGAATCCCAGCAATAACTAGCCGACGTCTCCTGGCTATTGTGGGGAAAATATCCCCAAACGCTTCCATCAGTATATCCACTGTAGGCACCTAGAAATACATTGGTATGATATTGCCTATATTCAAGAGCCTTGGCCGACCCTAATAACTAACGGGGAATTACGCATCTTAATGTCACTGGAAAACTCTTCACTGCTGTCATAGATAATCGCTTGCGCAAATGGGTGGACATAAATGAACTACTTTTGGAGGCACAAACTGAATTTAGGAGTAATTACACAACTACTGACAATGTATTTACTCTACAGGATATAGTAACAAAGTACCTATCTCGAGTTAAAGGAAGACTCTACTACGCCTTTATAGATTTCCAGAAAGCGTTTGATTTTGCTGAACGGACAAAAAACTACTTTATATTTTGTTAAAGAAGGGTTGCAACGATAAAATGTATAATATTCTTGTCAGTTTGTATTCATCTGTGAAAGCTTGTTTGAAGCCTGACGGTATGAGAACAGATTGTTTTATGACATCATCGTGAGTCAGACAAGGGTGCATTTTAAGTCCGCTTCTGTTTATATTTTTTATTAATGAACTTATTACAGCTGTATTTAGGCCATGTAAACATGGTATATTTGTTACTCAAGATATCGACGACATTATGATGTTATTGTTTGCAGATGATGTCAATATGTTCTCCTATACAGTTCTTGGTCTCCAACAGCAACTTGATGTGTTGTATAACTTCTGTAACAACTGGGGACTTCATGTCAATTTGAAAAAGACAAATATTATTGTATTTCAAAATTGCGGTGTATTGAAACGTAATGAAAACTGGTACAATGGGGGTTCTCAGTTGAAGTCAGTTACTTATTATAAATACTTAGGTATAATGTTGTCATCTAGATTGAACTGGTCTATGGCTTGTAAAGTATTAGCATCTCCAGCAAGGAAAGCATTACATTCTATTTTCAGTCTGTTTAGAAAAACTTCATACATGTCTTTCAAAACTGCATGTAATATATTTGACACAAAAATAGCCCAATATATATGGAGCTGAGGTATGGGTATTAGAATACCATAGTAACACTGAAACAGTTCAAACTACTTACTTTAAACGTGTTCTCTCGATTGGTAAATATGCTTCAAATAAGGCTGTGCTTGGAGAAACCGGTCGTTGTAATATGTTTGTAACTAGTAAAATACGAGCTGTTAAATATTGGATAATTGTTTACATACATCTAGGTATCTATATCAGTGCTATTTAATGCTTAAGTCAATTGATGAAAGTGGTAAGCATAACTGGGTCTCGCAAATTCGCTCTTTATTGTTTGATTGTGGTTTTTCATTCGTATATTTTTGCCAATTTGTTGGGAATGAAAAACTATTTATACATAATCTACAACAACGCTTATTTGATATATGTGCATAGGATTGGCATAATAATATTTCTTCATGCAAATATCTGTCATTTTATGCATGTAATAAATCAGTGTTACAACCTGAGTACTGCCCGTAAAACATAAATGTTAAATCTTTAAGAAAAAGTTTATGTAAATTCAGAATTTCATTATATGTTTTAAAGATTAATGGATATCGCAGATTAAAATCATGCGACGGCAATATTGTGGATATAGTATGTAAAAGTTGTGAATGACTTAAAATTGAAGATGAGTACCATGTATTCTTTTTTTGCCCAAAATATACTCATATTCGGGAGACATTTCTACCATGGCTATATATTAGTAATGTACAACCTAGAAGTAAGCAAATTTTGATATCAATTTTGAACTCAACAAATATAAACACCATTGAATATGTTGCCTTGTACTTGAAACATGTTTTCCTCATACATAATTCCTGTAAATCAATTGACTAAGTGATTAAAATTGTTATTGTAATTATACAATAGGCCATTTGGCCAATAATACCGAAATAAAGAATCTTGAATCTTGAATCTAGAAATAATATCGTCATTCAATCGAAACTATTTATCCTGTGCATGCTTACCTTTCTCACAAAATAGACGCTCGAACAGAGTTCAATCGATAACGGTTGTACAGTGTTATTATTTACACCCAAGACAGAAATCTTAGATACAGGAAGTTGGTTTGGCTGGTTGGTTTGTTGTTTAACGCCGTACTCAGCAATATTCTAGCTATATGGCGTCGGTCTGTAAATAATCGAGTCTGGACCAGACAATCAAGTGATCAACAGCATGAGCATCGATATACGCAACTGGGATACGATGACATGTGTCAACCATGTCAGCGAGCCAGACCACCCGATACTGTTAGTCGCCTAACGACAAGCATGGGTTACAGAAGATCAATTCTATCCCGGATCTTCACGGGTGGAACACCACTGTGAATAGTTGTATTATTTTTATAAGTTATAGTTTGAGATTACGGTTGGTACCATTGAATCAATTTCCAGTGCCATCAACATCACAAAGGTCAATACAGACCACAGCTGCGGCAAGGGGAGGTAAGTCAGGATTTCGGGGAAGACGATAAATCCAAGGTTGAATCCTAGATATAAACACAGATATGATTAATTGTTATGTTGCGTGATGAAATTATTCTTAGTATTTGGAATAAATAATAATAAACATGCTAAACGCTATCCTAACTCTCAATCTCTAGTAGGGATTGCTGGGCTCACTCGAGATCTTTCGTGACAACGAACAAAAGTCACTTGTTCAAGGTAAGCTCAATATTGAGCTTCGTGTGCGTCACTGTGGTACAGGACCTAAGCAATAGAGTGAGTGAGTATGATTTTCACGCCGGTTTTAGCATTATTCCAGCAATATCACGGCGGGGGAGACCAGAAATGGGCCTCACACACTGTACCCATATGGGGAATCGAACCTGGGTCTTTGCGTGACGAGCGAACACTTTAACCGCTAGGCTAACCCAGCACACATCAATATTCCAGCTATATGGCGGCGGTCTGTACATAATCGAGTCAGGACCAGATGTTGTAGTGATCATCAGCATGAGCATCGATCTACGCAGTTGGGATACGATGACATGTGTTACCAAGTCAGCGAGTCTGACCCCCAAAACGCGTCTTTCCACAAACATGGTGCAGCATCTCGCAAGCACAATTAAAACACTTCCAAACCCTTTTTACAATTACGTTACATACGTATTTCCATTGATGTGAAACCTAAGGCTTCTACAAACCTGATGATTCGAATGCTTCAACAGTTACTCCACTTTTGAAGGCAACGTGGCCAACGATTGCAAAGAAGGAAAATCCGACGAAAATTGTAGAAAACAAATCCACAAAACATACGACGATGGCGTCCCTGTTTGAAGAAAATATGTTATATTATTAAGTCGGGTTATAGAAAGGCATATAATCATGAGTCACTGTGTGTTATGTGACATGCATAATTTATTCAACAGTAACTGTTATCAATGCCTCTGGTTAATATCAAATGGTTAACACTGTGAGCAATGATCAGTACCTGTTCTGGGGCACCCTGACAATACATAAGGGGCCGAGAGCTGACCACCCAAGAAACATATTTGGACTCATCTGGGTTTCGAAAACTCGATCAAAGGATTCTTTCAGTACATTGGTTGCAACTTTCAACCACGAATTGTTGTGCCTCTTCTGGGGCCAGAATAGACATAACGGCCATTCAATGAGCAGTAAACTGCTAAGACCTACTTAAGACTTCTCAAAATTGTTACGAATTAGAATGAGTGACAAGGTGTTTAAATGGTTACCTGAAACAGTTGTTATTAGATTTGTTGTGGCCAGACAACGTAATGATATATCCCATTGCAATACCCATCGAGAACAGTGAGAATCTACAGGCCTCTATCCATATCTGTCGCAAAAGAAACACTTTAGTGTTCTTGTTGTTCGTTACAGAAATATGTAATGGGCATGTACCTATCGTGTCTTTAATGTTCGTTACAGGTACAAATTCTTATGACAAGCTACGAGCCTCTATCCATATTTGTGGCAAAAGAAAAATGTAATGGGCATGTACCTATCGTGTCTTTAATGTTCGTTACAGGTACAAATTCTTATTACAAGCTACGAGCCTCTATCCATATTTGTGGCAAAAGAAAAATGTAATGGGCATGTACCTATCGTGTCTTTAATGTTCGTTACAGGTACAAATTCTTATGACAAACTACGAGCCTCTATCCATATTTGTGGCAAAGAAAAATGTAATGGGCATGTACCTATCGTGTCTTTAATGTTCGTTACAGGTACAAATTCTTATGACAAAATACGAGCCTCTATCCATATTTGTGGCAAAAGAAAAATGTACCTGGGCATGTACCTATCGTGTCTTTAATGTTCGTTACAGGTACAAATTCTTATGACAAGCTACGAGCCTCTATCCATATTTGTGGCAATAGAAAAATGTAATGGGCATGTACCTATCGTGTCTTTAATGTTCGTTACAGGTACAAATTCTTATGACAAGCTACGAGCCTCTATCCATATTTGTGGCAATGTTCGTTACAGAAAATGTAATGGGCATGTATTTGTGGCAAAGAATGTACCTATCGTGTCTTTAATGTTCGTTACAGGTACAAATTCTTATGACAAGCTACGAGCCTCTATCCATATTTGTGGCAAAGAAAAATGTAATGGGCATGTACCTATCGTGTCTTTAATGTTCGTTACAGGTACAAATTCTTATGACAATATTTGTGGCTAATAGAGCCTCTATGTACCATCGTGTCTTTAATGTTGTGGCAAACTAGAAAATATTTGTAATGGGCATGTACCTATCGTGTCTTTAATGTTCGTTACAGGTAAAGAAAAAAAATGTAAATTCCCTTGTCTTCATGACAAACTCGCTCTAGGTCCAAATTCTTCTGACAAGAGCCTCTATCCATATTTGTGGCAAAAGAAAAATGTAATGGGCATGTACCTATCGTGTCTTTAATGTTCGTTACAGGTTCGTTACAAATTCTTATGACAAGCTACGAGCCTCTATCCATATTTGTGGCAATAGAAAATGTAATGGGCATGTACCTATCGTGTGTCTTTAATGTTCGTTACAGGTACAAATTCTTATGACAAACTACGAGCCTCTATCCATATTTGTGGCAAAAGAAAAATGTAATGGGCATGTACCTATCGTGTCTTTAATGTTCGTTACAGGTACAAATTCTTATGACAAGCTTCGAGCCTCTATCCATATTTGTGGCAAAAGAAAAATGTAATGGGCATGTACCTATCGTGTCTTCAATGTTCGTTACAGGTACAAATTCTTATGACAAGCTTCGAGCCTCTATCCATATTTGTGGCAAAAGAAAAATGTAATGGGCATGTACCTATCGTGTCTTTAATGTTCGTTACAGGTACAAATTCTTATGACAAGCTACGAGCCTCTATCCATATTTGTGGCAAAAGAAAAATGTAATGGGCATGTACCTATCGTGTCTTCAATGTTCGTTACAGGTACAAATTTTTATGACAAGCTTCGAGCCTCTATCCATATTTGTGGCAATAGAAAAATGTAATGGGCATGTACCTATCGTGTCTTTAATGTTCGTTACAGGTACAAATTCTTATGACAAACTACGAGCCTCTATCCATATTTGTGGCAAAAGAAAAATGTAATGGGCATGTACCTATCGTGTCTTTAATGTTCGTTACAGGTACAAATTCTTATGACAAGCTACGAGCCTCTATCCATATTTGTGGCAATAGAAAAATGTAATGGGCATGTACCTATCGTGTCTTTAATGTTCGTTACAGGTACAAATTCTTATGACAAACTACGAGCCACTATCCATATTTGTGGCAATAGAAAAATGTAATGGGCATGTACCTATCGTGTCTTTAATGTTCGTTACAGGTACAAATTCTTATGACAAGCTACGAGCCTCTATCCATATTTGTGGCAAAAGAAAAATGTAATGGGCACGTAATTAACATGTTGTTGATAGTCGTTATTGGTACAAATTCTAATTGTATGTCACTAAGCAAATGGATAAGAACCACAAAAATCATGTTTACATATAATATTACTATCAGCAAAACAGGTACAAAATTCTTATAAAAAAACCAAACGCGTATGTCCATACCTGTGTCAAAAGAAAAAATATGTAATGGGCATGTACCTAATGTGTCCTTGATGTCTGTTACGGGTACACATTCCTACGAAGAACTAATATGCTCTTTCCACATTTGTGGCAAAAGAAAAATGTAATGGGTATCTACTTAACACGTTGTTGATATTCGTTATTGGTACAAATTCTTGTATTTGTATGTTCTTTAGCAAATGGACAAGAACCACAAAGTCATGTTTACAAATAATATGAATATATCAGCAAAACATTTCAATGATATCATTTTAGAGGCAATAATGTCATAAATAAATCGTATCTACTAATGTCTACTTGTTGATAAACGTAATGTCCGTACATTGGGGTCTTGAAGTTTTTCAAATTGTGGGTATATGTAGAAGTAAATCCCGTCCATTGCGCCCGGAAGTAGACATCCCCGGATGAGGAAGACCGTCACCAGGATGTAGGGGATGCCCACGGTGACGTAGACGATCTAAACAGATCATGACAATATCAGTAAGTTGACATTGTTCGTGACGTAGACGATCTTAACAGACCATGACAATATCAGTAGGTTGACATTGTTCGTGACGTAGACGATCTAAACAGACCATGACAATATCAGTAGGTTGACATTGTTCGTGACGTTATCGATCTAAACAAACCATGACAATGTCAGTAGGTTGACATTGTTCGTGACGTAAAGGATCTAAACAGACCATGACAATATCAGTAGGTTGACATTGTTCGTGACGTAGACGATCTAAACAGACCATGACAATATCAGTAGGTTGACATTGTTCGTGACGTAGACGATCTAAACAGACCATGACAATATCAGTAGATTGACATTGTTCGTGACGTAAACGATCTAAACAGACCATGACAATATCAGTAGGTTGACATTGTTCGTGACGTAGACGATCTAAACAGTAGGTTGACATTGTTCGTGACGTAAACGATCTAAACAGACCATGACAATATCAGTAGGTTCACATTGTTCCTGATATAGACGATCTAAACAAACCATGACAATATCAGTAGGTTCACATTGACTGAGACGTAAACGATCTTCACTTGAGTATATACTCCTTAAAGTCTTTGAGCGTCATTTTAGAAGTTAGGAAGTACATTATTGAACAACTTCTTTTATTTCGTGAGTGCGACGTTTCGACACAGATTCCTGTACCGGTGTCAAGCAGGAAATAAAGGAAGTTGTGATCCACAGAGTTTGTTTAATATTCAATAGAGTATATACGCTATGTTTGTAAGTATACCATACCTTTCCTGACACGTTAATCCCTTTAAACACGCACAGGTATACGATGACGTACGTACAGGCCAGGCACCCCGCAAGAGGCCATCTTATACCACCAAGGTAATCCAGACCATCAGTGATTTCCAAAACGTGGAATCTGAAAGTGTGGAAAGACTACATCATTAAATAAATTTGAAATTTAAAAGGGGATTGAGGACAGCACAATGGAAGTCCTAAACAGTTTCATTCAAAATTGAATTGAAATTCAAAATGTATCAAATACCAGAACAAAAACTGTTTGCCATGTGTTTGTTTGTCTGTTTGTTTGTTTGTTTGTTTGTTTAACGCCTGCACTCAGCAAAATATTACAGCTATATTGACGTCGGTCTGTAAATAATCGAGTCTGGACCAGACAATCCAGTGATCAACAGCATGGGCATCAACGTATGAACTGGGATGCAATGGCATGTGTCAACCGAGTCTGAACATGCTATGTATTAACACCTGTCTGTGATACTGGTGCCAACAGTCAAAACTGACGGCCTGGATAATTCCTCACAAAAGTAATCACGGGAATATCTGGTCCAGATTCAGCTATTTCCATGCCGTCGTCATACAGTTGGGACCTGTGAAGATCCGTACGGCGTGAAACAAACCAACAATAACAACCAACCAAACATACAGCTGGAATACTGACAAATGTGGCATTTAGCAACAAACAAACAAACAATCATACTTTAAGTATGAACAAACATATATGCTGTTGAAACACAAAAATCATTTTCAGTCAACCGACACTCATTATACATCGGTGTCTTATCTTCCGTTTTTGTCATTTCCGTCATTGTTGTGATACTTTAATTCTAAACACGCACTTTGCTGGTCTCTGAAATCAAAATTTTACTTTATGTTTATAAAAGGTCAAGGTCGATTTCAGTCTAACCTCCAAAACTCTTCTGCAGCAGTCATTCCAGGAACAGTGATGTTAGTGAAGTTCGGAGTACCTCCACTTATAGCGTTTTCAGTGACGTTAGTGACGTTGGTGTACGTCAGACCGACGACGGTGTCGCCAGATACACATGCTGGAGTGTTCCAGGAGTTGTCACAGTTTGACCAGGGAAGGATGGAGGAGAACGACTTGAACATGTAGAACAGGAACCAGGAGAAGATCACGTTGTAGTAACAGTTATAGAGCCAGGTTGATATTACTATGCCAATTCCAATACCTTGTAAAATAAAACACAGGAATTCATTTTAAACACCTGGTATCACCACTATTTCATAGTGATTTATTAACACATGCTCTGTTATCGTATGACATGGTGACAATCCCTGGATTGTCTGGTTCAGACTCGATTTGTTTACAGACAACATCGTACAGCTGTTATACTGCTGAAACAAATATATACTCATGATATGGTCACAATTGTACAATCGACTCTGCTTGTGGCAGAGATTTCTTATGAATATGGATAGGGTTTTGTCGCTTCTATATAATCTATGCCAGAAGAAGTTAAAGAATATCCCAAATCGGAAGATTGACAAGAGTCAGAGATGAAAATCGGTGTTTTTTAGCAGTATACTTCAATTCATGCCTCTATATTATAAAACATGAATATTCAGAGAAACAATTCAGTTGTTCTGTAACTTCTTCTGAATTGCATGTGTCATGGTATTTGTCAATGGTTATCTTGGAAACTGGGAATTTGTTCCGTGGGTGCCAGACAGACCCCTGGAACCAGGCAGTACGGGTGCCAGAATCTCGCATTCGGCCTTGTTATGTATGTGTCTAGGCTTCCCAAGGCCCTGTTTGTATAACCCGTGAAGGCCCGGGTTAGAATTGGTCTTCAGTAACCCATGCTTGTCGTAAAAGGCGACTAACGGGATCGAGTGGTCAGGCTTGCTGACTTGGTTGACACATGTCATCGGCTCCCAATTGCGTAGGTCCTTGCTCATGCTGTTGATCACTGGATTGTCTGGTCAATATTTGACTATTTACAGACAGCCGTCATTTCGCTGGAATATTGCTGAGTGCGGCGTAAAACAACAACAACCAAGCATGTTCGTCTTCATGAGTGGTAACTCATGCAACTGAAGTTTTCAATGTGGTACCGAACGAACCTAATCACTCACTGTGTTAATTCACTGTTGAGAGACTGGCCATTTACCAATATCATCACAGAATTTATTCCTGGCTATCGAGGTAGAACACTGTAACAATTCAAATACCAGCCTACCTTTGAATGGAGGACAAAGGTTCCAGACTTTGATAAGGCCTCCTTGAGAAAACTGGCCAATGACCATTTCCAGGAATACACACGGAATGGCGGCAAGGATGGTGAAGATGGTGAACACAATTATGTAAGCTCCTGAATATCAATCATACAATAATCATACAGTTAGACCATGAACGAACATATTCTGTCATTGTTTATTCAAGGTACCATCCCTTCTACCATGACACTGAAAAATCTTAGTTTTGATCAAAATAAGGTATCAAAATCCATCCGATATCAAACAGAAAAAACACCAATCTATAGATAGCCTACACAACGATGCATACAGAAAGAATATAAAGGCTCGATTCGAAATAAAAATAATATTTATCTGAGATACTTTATACCCCACATTTCAAAACACGGAAGGTTATCTCGAGTATTAAAACATTGTTTCTTGTTCCTGCCAAGTTCTCCAAGTCAATTCTGTGAATTTAAAATTACTGACCCTCTTTCCATAAGGAATATTGAATCTTTCAGTGATAATTGTACGAGTACCAAGTGTATATTTAACAACATGACCTATTACCCTTCTCAGCAGTCGATTTGTATAAGGATGGGTAGGACTAAGGATGGATAAAACATTCAGAGCACGGGCTAATATATATATGTACTGTTAATTTATGTTAATATATGTCTATAGATAATATAATTATACTGTTATACTTAAGTTACTTAGTGTACAACCCTGATTGTCTGTCACAACTGTTGACAGTCGGAATAGCTGGCTTATCGGTTCCTTTCTGTCAACCGACAACCATGAGACCATTCGAAAAGGTTCACCGGAAGTACTAAGGTTTAAGTTACTTAGTTATACTTAAGTCCTTTTTGTTATGTCCAGGTTAATATACAGAATTCATGGAATCAATAGTAATAAACTCTGTCAAAAAAGAAACGCAACCCCTGTCCTCAGATATGAAAAATTCGTTTGAATGAAGTTATTGCTTCCAAACTAAATTTTATTCGAATGTATTGAAATTATACACGTAATTAATGAAGATTACCATCCAAACAACTGCATTTGTACGCATAAGTGTATTTTATTGCTTATTCCGTCACAACGCATGAAATGACCCTCATGGTGACTTCGCACAAAAAAAACACATGCAAATCATGAAAATGGCAGTTAATGTAGGGGTGTATAAAAGCCCATGTGCTTTCGTATTATATTCATTCATTTGTCGCCGAAAAGCTGTGTTAAAATGCCACGATTGAGTGCTGCCGACCGAAATATCGCCATTGGTCGTGTTCAAAGCCGGAGAAAGTTTTGGAACTGTTGCACGGCACCTAAATGTTCACAAAACAACGATATCCCGACTTTGGAGCCGCTACAACAACTTCAATTTGACCAACGATCGCCCGAGAAGTGGAAGGCCAAGAATCACGACCCCCCTTCAAGATCGGTACATCCGGGTCCATCACCTGCGTAATCGGCATGCCCTACCAACCGTGACTGCCACACAAATACCAGGTTTGAGGAGAGTGTCAGCTCAAACGATTAGGAACCGCCTGAAAGAAGCGGGTTTACGTGCCTGTAGACCAGTTGTTGGACCTGTACTACGCCCCTACATCGACGCCGACGACTCAGGTGGTGCAACAACGTAAGGATACGGACTTTACAAAACTGGAGGCGAATCTGGTTTTCTGATGAATCACGTTTTCTTTTGCAACGTCACGACGGAAGACAGCGTCTGTATAGGAGACGTCATAAACGTTTTGCGCCCATCTGCGTCCGACAGGTGGACAGATTTGGCGGAGAAAGCGTCATGGTTTGGGGAACCATCTCATACAACCAGAAATCAGACTTGGTGATCGTTCCAGGGAACCTGACAGCCCAACGTTACATCAACCACGTGTTAGAGCTTCACCTTCTCCCGATTATTGACCAACAGACACAGATTTTCAACGGGACAACGCCCGGCCTCATACTGCACGTGCAACAATGAACTTTCTGCAGAATTCCAACGTCAATGTCTTGCCATGGCCTTCTAAATCACCAGACCTCAACCCTATTGAACACCTGTGGGATACTCTGGATCGACGCGTACGTCAACGTCAGCCGCCGCCACAGACGCTGCAACAGCTCGCCGTTGCACTGCAGGAGGAGTGGAGAGCCATTCCCCAGGAAAGAATCCGGCGTCTTATCCGTTCTTGTCCAAGGAGATGCCGTGCAGTGATTGCAGCGCGTGGTGCTCATACGAGATACTGAGAAAGACGCCCCCCTGGTGACAAACTGGTGTCTGTGAGATGACTTTTGAAATGACAATTTTAAACATGCCCATCTGGGTTATTATTCTGCCAAATTTCAGACTTCTGTCTTAAATAATAAAAATGCCGTGTCGTCCTAAAACTTCAGATCAAAATCTCTAAAATACAGGGGTTGCGTTTCTTTTTTGACAGAGTTTATATACGTCCTCGATATAGATACGTCTCCGAGGCAATTGCCTCTCCTCATGCAATGTCGCCTCCAATTCACAAACATGTTGTGCATGAGGGTCCCTTGCCTGCAAACGACGACCAAGAATGTCCGAGATGTGTTTGATGGGGTTCAGATCAGGGCTCCTTGCAGGCCAGGGAGAGTCTCAGCAGCTTTAGTCCGCAAGAATTTTCCCACAGCAAGGAAACGATGTGGCCTAGCGTTGTCGTCCATGAATATGGTGCGGGAAGAAAATGGATGGCTATCAAACTGTGGCACAACAACTTCATCAAGAATGTCCGTGATGTCCATCAATGTCTACCTGTACAGTAACCAGTGTCAACTTACAGTCATGGGAGATCCATCCCCACACCATAACTGAGCCTCCGCAAAAGGGATCAGTTGGATGAATGTTCCCCTACTAGCATCGGTAATACGTCTCTGAACTCTCGGACGACCATCCGTAACATAAAGCAGGATCCTGATTTTGTCTGGCAATTGCATCTGTCTCCAGGTCCGAATATTCCAGCGCCAACGAGCAAAACACCACTGTAGCCGTTGCCTTTGATGTACATGAGACGGTCTGTTGGGCTCCCAGAGCTGTTTCAAACGGGGCGGTGGGGTAGTCTTATTGTTAAAGCGTCCGCTCGTCACACTGAAGACCCGGGTTTGATTCCCCATATGGGTATAATGTGTAAAGCCCATTTCTGGTGTCCTCCGCCGTGATGTTGCTGGAATATTGCTAAAAGCGGTGTATACCATACTCACTCACGCGAAAGAGTGCTCGTGGTGAAGGGTCCACGCCTCATGTAGAGAAACAAGACTGCCATCTTCCGCTGGAGTGGTCTTCCTGGGTTGACCTGGTCTTGGTCGATCCTTGACAGCGTCTGTTTGTTGGTGTTTCCGGTTAAGTCTACTGATGACAGAGTGGCAGTAACCAAGCTGACGGATGATGGCCGTGAATGACATGACAGCTGCATGCATACCCACTATCTGCCATCGCAATCCAAATGAAAATCTTCTCCTCGCCATGTTAACGGCCAGGCAGAGGTAGTGCTTTTCATGACATGAGTTGGTAGCATGCTTCTCAAAGCCTTTCAAACTGTAACATTGTTTTTCATTACCTCAAATGTGCTACTAAACAATGGCCCCAGTCATAATAGGGGTGGGTGAAAATACCGGTTAACCGTTATATTGCAATTCGAACATCACAATACGATATATTGCGGTACATTTTTCGCGAACCGGTTCTCCCGATACGATCGGCAATTTCTGTGACCATGATCGGTAATTTTCGTGATGTAGTCAAAAATACTAATAACATTTGTATTTCTTTTATATTATTATACATTAATAGATATTATGTTCATTGGCCATATAACTGCATTTGCGTGACTTTTAAACCATATTAATAAAACAAAATACGTTGGTGCCGGCACTCTTTGTAGGGATTAACAAACCAAAATGGCGGACGCCGCTGCAGACGTTTTTTATCGAGTTGTAAACTTTGAAGCAAATTCTTCAATTTGGAAACATTTTCAATTGATCTCTTGTACATCACATCTGAGTTTCGCCAGTGGCCAGTGGCATTCTTTCAAAAGAAAGGAAACAGTAATTTCATTACCTTAAACCATGTGTGACACTTTCACAATTTATTGCAATGCATATTGCAGTACGCCAACAACATATCACAAAATATCGCAATACGAAAATTTTGGCAATACGCAACCCTAATTCCTATATCATCATAACTGATAGCTAGATCACTATGATGAAATATATTAAGGGTTGCCTTATTGTGTATGTTCCATGTGTAAGTTCCATGTGTATATATGCCAGAAGCATAATATACGTTACAAGGTTGACAACAGAACCGAGGCGCAGCAAACTGAAGGTACAAAACGCCCTGTAAGACCCCTGTTAAATTTGTTACAGAATAACCATTTCGTGTTTTTCATTTTTAAATACTCGGGTTAGATTCCCCTCATGGGTACAGTGTGTGGAACCCATTTCTGGTGTCCACCGCCGTGATATTGCTGGAATATTGCTAAAAGCGACGCACAACCCAACTAACTAACTCACTCACGTTTACATAACTTGAGAATACTCACAGACGAAATTAATTTCAAAACGAATTATTAAGGCGATTTACCTCCCCCATTTCGCATACAGAAATACGGAAACTTGATAAAGACACCGGATGCGATGCTTGATCCGAGTATGGTGATGAGATAGTCGAGGTGATGACGCCAGCGTTCGTGTGCCATGGCTGAAATATGAAGAGGTAGATGGAGACATTTCACACATATATTCACATAGTGCATGTTTCTATATTAAAGGGACGGTGGGGTAGCCTAGTGGTTAAAGTGGTCGCTCGTTACGCTAAGGTTTGCTGTGTTCAAGCCTGTGTTCTGTGTACAGTCTGTAAGTGTCTCAACAACCTTGCCCCTACATATCTCTCATCTCTCCTAACCCAGTATGTGCCTTCCAGAACTCTACGTTCCCAGGATAAGCAGCTCCTCAAAGTACCCCAAGCTCGGCTCACCTCTTTTGGAAGAGGAGTTTTCAACATGTCGCGCCTCTCTTATGGAACTCTCTGCCGCTCCAAATCAAACCTGGACTCTTTTAAGAAGGCCCTAAAGACATTCCTTTTTACTAAAGCTTATAATTGACATTTTGCCCTTCTTCTGTAAATAGTTTTAATGCGCCATGAGCATGCATGAGTGGGTGGACACTGGCGCTTTACAAATATCCACTATTATTATTATTATTATTATTATTATTATTCAAGCAGCGCTGGTCTCGAGAGTCCCTGGATGGATGACTGTGTTCGGCAGATTCACACTATAGGTTCTGTTGGTTAGGGGTAGGCTAGTAGGTAAAGCGTTCGCTCCTCACGCCAAAGACCTGGGTTCGATTCCCCACTTGGCTACAATGTGTGAAGCCCATTTCTGATGTACCCCCACCGTGATATTGCTTGAATATTGCTGAAAGCGGCGTAAAACAATATTCACTCACTCACTCACTCACTCTATATTAAAGCGACAAAACAACACTTCGGGCAACATACTCAGCATGTGTCTATGCGTTCGCGAAACTATGAGCACATCCCACCTCATGGGTGGCACCTGTCACACACACGTGCAAAGGCAGTTCAATCACCAAGTAATTAACGCTTTTGAATTAAAGGGACAACAACAAAAGCGGATTCCGCTGTCTATGCGTTCACAAACACATGCAAGGGCGAGCCAATCGTCAACAAATAATTAACACAATAACACAAGGAACAAAAGAAAGCCATTCGCTTCGTCTTCTGTTTTGATTGGCTGCGGTCCGTGGCTAGTAAAAATCCAATCGAGCCTATAAATCTCCAGTCACTGGCCCGACTGGCTAGTGAAGTTTCATGGGATCATTTTGCAAATATATCACTCTCTCCGACTTTTTAAGTTATAATACACTTTTAAACCATGCAAGAATATGGCCTGATAAAAATGTTCATCATATTAGCAGCTTAATGAAGAAATCCGTGTCATGCCGACAATATCTTATTCTCATCTATTTTTTGTAATCTTTTATTTAGTTTCTACATTCAAATTTGTGAATTATTTTGTGGACTGATAACTTTCAGGCATAGCTAGCCCGACTGGCCAACAGAATTTGGAAACTATTTCGCACACTGGGAAGCACAAGTCTCAGAGCACAGAGCACAATACTGTCCCTCGCTAAATACAATGTACAATGCATTACACTTGGAACCTTGTTACACAAGGAATAATACTGCCACATAGCAAGCCACATTGTAACGATGCATCGAATTATCGATGGATTGCATTTGTTGAGTCTCCGATAGCAATTAATCGTTGGTAGAAACGAAAACCTATCGAGGCATGGATAGTATGTGTGACTATCGCTAGTGTACTTATTGTCTTCCGTTGATAAATGCGCAGCGCAAAATACAGGATGTTTGGGTGCAGACTTGCAGCTTCATTGAGTTTATGTTTTAACTGTTAATCTGGGTTTATAGTTTCTTGTCTGTTATCAAAAGAGACTGAAACTACTTCAACTTGTTTTGTTTCATATAAAGTATACATTCATTTGGGAAATGACTTAAAAAATGAGACAATTCAAGGAGAGAAAAGCTATTGCAATAGTTTAGCCGCAATAGACTATCGCTATCGCAATAGTTGTTTCCTCCTCAATAGTCACCCCCAGCAAGTTACAGTCCACTGTAGCTAACCTATCGTTATTACACAATTACAAATCTTCGTATGTGTGTGCCATAATACACAACACCTACTCACCTTTCTCTCTGCTTGTTTCTAGCAACTGATCCTTACATACCCCGGAGAACCAACAACACTGCCAATATATACAACACGCCTCGTATACAAATGAGTGCATTGTTGTATGCAGATCATAGTTTACGCCTAGGTAATGTGCATCACGTTTTAGGGTGAATATGTTTGAGGAATCAACTTAAGTTTAAAACAAGCCACGGCCTTATTGTCATGATAATACAATATTGTGTCAGCAGAAACTCATTTGGGTCTGAATGACACGACACGTGCTTGAACTCCTAACTGGAGGACTCTAATATCTGATAGAAAACTGCCAGGTGTTATTGCTTTTGTAATAATTGCATTTAAACGAAAATGTATTTTATGACTGACGTCGCTTGACTTAAATTATGTTTAGTCGAGTTTTTAACTAAATATAAGTACTTTATAGCGTTTTGTTTAATGGGTTTCCTTAAATTCAAAACCCAGACACGTTTGAGACACGTGGTGGATTTAATATGCCACGGTTGACGCCATCGTGACACGATGACACGCCAGCTCCATGGTCGCTGGCGTTCTAATGGGTGATTGCTTGACATGTACCCTGAACAGTGCTCATACTGTCAATCACAGGATTATCGTGCTCAGACGCGCTTGCTTAACGACTCCATTAAGTCCAAGTGGTTGATTGCTTGTCATACCCTACAAGTGTTCATATTATCAGTCACCGAATTTTCTTGCTCAGACGCAGTTACTTTACGAATCCATTAAGTCGAAGTTGTTGACTGCTTGTCGTAGTATCCTGATCGGTTGCTCATGATATCAATCACAGATATCAGTCTTGCCCGACGCGACTAATTAACGAATCCATGAAGTCCATGTGATTGATTACTTGACGTCATACCCTAACCCAATCACAGGATTGCCTTGCCTGATGTGAGTAGTTACGGCCCCAATTCTACAGCTGCAGTGTTGAGCTATATTAACAACTGCAACAAAAATCCTGAACAAATAAAATAAAACCAACAAATATAGATCCCAAACAAGCAAACACAGGTATCCCATGCTCTTTTTATTCTGGATGGCATTGCGGTACACCTGCACTAACCTTTCGATACCAAGTACCGAGCACAAAAGCAACTAGTCATGATGCATGCAAAATATGTTAAATCACACTATATTTGCAATAGTGTATTCATGAGATGAATGTTCAACAGGCAACTCTGGTGCCTCTAGTCAGACTGAATTATGTTACTCACAAACAGCTAAGAACAACTCGACTCTATTATATTACCTACGGCTATGACAGTTTAACCATAGCAAAATAAACGAATGGTGGGCACCTTCAAGTATTATTTTACAGTTTATTTACACGTATACAGTAACTCTCGGTCTTATTTTCCTGCAATAATGACCCCAAGGAGATCTTGGTCTTCAGTAACCTATGCTGCAGGTAAGATGCGACTGACAGGATAGGGTGACATCGTATCTAATTACGTAGACTGATTCTCCTGCTGTTGATCACTGTTGATCACTGTTGATCGCTGTTGATCGCTGTTGATCACTGTTGATCACTGTTGATCGCTGTTGATCGCTGTTGATCACTGTTGATCACTGTTGATCGCTGTTGATCACTGTTGATCGCTGTTGATCGCTGTTGATCACTGTTGATCACTGTTGATCGCTGTTGATCGCTGTTGATCGCTGTTGATCGTTGTTGATCACTGTTGATCGCTGTTGATCACTGTTGATCGCTATTATCTTCAGACCGCCGCCAAATAGCTGGAATATTGCTGTGTACGGCGTTAACCAACACACAAAAGCAACACATCCTGCCATAATTATTGAGAAGAAATTCTAAGCGTTAAATGAAATGAAATTGAGGATACTGGATAATTTATTAAATTATTTTTCACTCATTACTCACGTATTAAATGTGAATATTAGCAGAACATAACTCCAGATTCAAAGACAGGTTAACAGTTAGTATTTTGTCAAGTCACCATGGGCAGCAATGCAGACTTCAATGATGCGGGGCATACTACTGATCAAAAAAGTTGGAAGTCGTGGTCCATGCTGTCCCAATATCGGACCACCTCTTCTTTCATTTCAGCAATATTTGTCAGATTTTTCTTATTGACACTTTCCTTCATAAGTCCCCAAACATTTTCTATTGGATTAAGTTCAGGGCCATAGCTTGGCCAATCTAATAATGTCATATTTTGGGTCCGAAACCAGGCCTGTGAATGCTTTGAACGATGTTTTGGGTCGTTGTCCTGCTGGAAAATCCAAACATTTCCATAGAACACGTGAGCAGATGGAAGTAAATGTCCCTCGAGAATATCTGTGTACCGCTCACTGTTCATATTCTCTTCAAATACACAGAGGGGCGTTGCCCCTAACACAGATATGCCACGCCACACGTTAAATTTCGGACTGTACTTTGGGCGCTGATACAAAGGTTTTTCAGTGTGTTTGGTCCAGAATTTCAGTGTATGAGGAAGCAGCCACACAGAACTTTTATTCTGAGAAAATCAAATTGTTTCACTTAAAATAACTATGCTGTAAGCATCTGTTCAACCTTCGCTCCTTTTGTTCAGGTTTCATGATCGGTGATGGAATTCCTCGACTTTTCTGCCATCCCACTGCATGCAGCTCAGTTCTAATTGTCTCCTTACAGACAGTCACAGTTCCTCTATCAATCATATCCAGCCTTAAGTTTTCTAAACTCCTTCGTTTGTTTTTAGAAACAAGAATACCAAGCCGCCTCCTGTCACCGACAGTCAATTTTCTGGGCCCACCTGCCACTCCCTGGTGCTCAATGCCATATCCATTTGCAATATTTTTCACACACGATAAACAGTGGACAAAGGGATGCCTGTTCTACTTGAAATCACTTTAGCTGATCTGATGTCCTTGTTATAATATTCTAAAACCAACTTCCTCTTCTCTAAATCATACATACTGAGGATCACTGAAATTGTCGTC